CGACTGAAATTATCTTGCCGTCATCTACAACACACGGGGGCCCATTAACTGCGCAGACCGTTGCATTTATTTTTTCCTCCTTTTCACAAATGCCTCGCCATTAACCCATTATGCCGACAAAGGAGAAAAAGTGACGAGTAGCGTGGCGAATAAACCGCACCGCGGCCCGATAAGACTTATCGATTCGCCAATTACGCGTGTGGATTTATTATCGAGGTGTCCGATCCGAGACGCGTAAAGTAATAAATCCTGTAGCTCCGAAAAATCGTACCGACGACAAAAATCGATCAGTCCGTTTATAATGTTTTTCGATATTCGATCGATTGACGTCTTCGAGGATACTTAATAAAAAGACGATGTAAAGAATGAACGCTCTATAGGAATTCCCAGGATACGGGAAGAAAAAGAAAAAATTTATTCGCTTCGACGAGACACCTGGTTTCGTTTATTTGCTAGTCGACAAGGGAACTCTGTCTCGTCATAGTAATTAATAAGAGGGGTAATCGGCGATCCATTATCTCGTGGATGGTTGACTCCCTGCCTTTTACATCTTTCCACTGCCTTCTTCCTCTTTTTCCATCTCTCTTGTTTTTCTTTCTCTCTGTATCGTCTCGACGTTCTTCAGCTACCCTTAAACTCATTTCCGTCCACGTGTACTTAAATAACCGCCATAGGGAAGAGCTAGAGAAAGTATGGAGAGAATAATCGCGCGCATGTCGGTTTTAGAATGTTTAAAATACATGCACGACACGATCGTATGCTTTGACTCTCTAGCATCGTGCAATTATTTTTAATCATTATCATTATATGGAGTTTATCTCGAGATTATTATTATATATCAATTAATTATTATTATCCCAAATGAATATGTGTTTCGGCGTATAAATATCACATATCGTCTTTCACAGTTATAAAATAACGGAGATTATGATAATTAAGTCAGTTTGCAAATTGGTCTTCTAGTATTGGGTTAAACGCGGGTCAAGCGAGTGTAGGCGAGCTGCGAATCACGGTCATATGGATGTAGAATCTACCAAGTCGATATATACAGGGTGGGAGGGAAGGACGGACGACAAAGTTGATGACGCGGTTGATCGAGAACGAGAGATGGCCATCACGTGCTCAATTTTCCGAAGGTTTCATAACATCCATCTCGCGAGGAGGGATGTGCCCTGCCCTTTTCTCCGTCCTATTTCAGATCCTCGGAGGTTAATTTCCCTGACAGAGACATTTCCGCTCCTCGGTCCGTTTCAGTTCTCTCGCATTTCGCCCCTCATCCCCCGCGAATCGTAAGGCGAAAGGGAGAACTAAATCAATGTAGGACATTTATATTGGCTGGAAATCGCTGACTCTCCACGGGGACCACCGTGGACATTCGACCACGGGACATATTAAGATTTCTGATCCGCCGCGGCGACATTTTTATCATTGCGTGTCCTTTCCTTTCCCGTACGTCCTGCCGCGCGAGGAGGAAATAAAACGTGAATTATTGTCCACGTGGTGTGTGTCTCTCTCTCGGTGCGCAGCGGACCCGGGGTTAAAGTGGCCGTTATGCTTTTCGGTGAATAATTTAATGGCCCGTTTAGTGATGTCGGCTCGTGAATATCGAACGATGTCTCACGCTTAGTAAACATTTTTGCTTTGGCCGACGGAATTTCCGCGACACTGATCTGATTAATTAAAACATTCGAGTGAATTCTTTAGCGCGGTTAAATGCGGATCGAAATAGAGATATTTTCGTCCCATATTTTGTCATTAATAAATCTGCAAATTATCGTATTAATTTTTTTTATTTTTGGAGTAAGAGGAAAGGGAAGGGAGGAGAAAAAATATCGAGGTTGATCTCGGGTATCAAAGCAATTTATTTAAATTAATAGATCCAGAGACCATAGAGCGAAATAATTATCATTCGATTACTACCAGTTTTAACCTTTTCTCTTAAAAAAGAAATGTTCTTATTTGTAAGGTTGTTATCGGCCAGCCACTGATAAAACTCGATACTTTTATCAGGGGGACCGCGATTATTCCTCGCTTCTATCTCTCCCGGATACATCAGGCCATTCTATCGAAAACGATTTCATTTTTCACGTCAACGATATTGTTCCCGGTTCTCTATCTATTTTTATTCCATTTTATTTTACACTGACGCGACAGTACATTCCATTCGCACTTATCATCGAGATAAGAGATTCATGATCGGCCGCTAATGCGATTATTAACACTTCTATTCTCGAGTCGATCAACAAAGTTACCTGATGAAATGTGGCTTGGATTAATGACAGGAGAAGCATTTTTCGCATTTTAATAGTCATCGCCGATACTGAGACGGACTTATCAGACACCCTATTAATTTGCAAACAAAAATTAAAAATAAAAAAGGAAAAAATAAATTTTATCATCAGCATCCCTAAGTGCGATTATTTAAAAATTATAAATGAGGCTGTATCTATTTTCTATTTTTCTATTATTTTCTATTTTTAATTTTTTTGCATGGCGAAGAAAAAAAACGATTACTTATGGACAAATCGAATGCCATATCGGAGTATTCGGAGGAGACCTACCCTGTTCGACTATGACGAGGCTGATGCGTCCGCTTCTCTCGCGGTATCCGCAGAAGAGAGGAACCTCTCTCGATTGGGTCTCGGGTCGCTCCCACCTCCGGATCGGAGTCGCGCGCGTTCTCGATCGGAGCTGGCGAACGCGCGACAGTCGCGCGTAGTCAGCTGTGTCGTTCGGAGTCGTTTCGGTCTCGGCGCGATACTTCCGATACTACGCGCGGAAGTCTTTCTCTCTCTCTCTCTCTCTTCGTGTTGTATATCCGTGAGTCTCGAGCGATACTCTACCGCGACGTAGACGGAAGTTGCCAAGTTTTCGTCGGCAAAGTTGTACGATTCTTTCATGGCCCCGGGAAGGCGTTAAATTTCGGCCTGGCGGCCCTATAGTCCTCGCGTTAGCGGACGAAGTTTATTCTCCCTACCTCTTGCCAGCCCGCGAACGAGCTCCGGGGTACTTTTCAACGTGTTGGAGAAGCAAAAGAGAGAGAGAGGAAAGGAGAGACGAAGCCGAGGGTGTCGAAGAGAGAGAGGACCAAAGTTTTCGACGCGGCGCAAGCGGATAAGGCAGAGCGCGGCGTCGTAGAATATTTTAACATATATCATGATGAAATTGGAACGGGGGAGTACATATATTGCGCGATAGAGAGAGAAAGAGAGAAAGCGTTTCCTCTCTTCTCTTCGCCGGCTGTTCCTCTTCAGCTTCGTCTTCTCGTTCGCGCGGCAACTTCTCTCCTCTCGTCGTCGCTGAATCGGCGGCGTGCCTTTGTCGTCACCATCGTCACCATCATCGTGTAGTATATATGTTGCTCCCTGTGATCCGCGTGTGACGGAGGAGTTGGTGTTTCGTCGAATTCAACGCGCGCATGACCCCGCCGCCAACATGTTTGTCTATCCCACGGACTACGCCAACTATAAGATGGTAAATTTACCGAAAATTCCAAGAGTCTCTTCCTCGATTATATCCATACCTTCGGCGCTCCCGGAGCGATCGATAGATCCATTCATGTCGCATGCAGCCTCCGTGCACCAGCTTCCTGTACATTGTTCCCTCTCTCTCTCTCTCTCTTTCCGGAGAAAATCGCGCTCCGTATTTTATCTTGGTTCAAATATATATGTATTGAGAAAAAAGGAGCGAAAGGAACTAAATAAAGTGGAGCTATATTTTGAAGCTAAAAGCACGAATGTGTTCTCTCCCTGTATAATTCGCAATAATATAATTTACCTTTCATTCGCGATTTTCTATCGAGAACAATTTTTTTCTGATTTATGTATATAGAATTGGAGAACCATGGCGTCCATGATGGATGATGGCTGAGTAATCAAAGTACATTAGATGATATCGTTCGGATGGTATCTCGCGATAACGAGCTTTAATTCTTCATATGTAAATGATTGGAACGCGTTATCGGATTAGACATTGAATTTTTATCGTTTGCTTTCGCGACGTGTCGCCGATGTTTTGCGTCACATTTCGCCTACGAATTTAGTTATATGTTACGACTTTTCAATCTCCTAATATCGAGAACAATAATTAATTTATCGTAGTCTTTTATTGCGTTTAACATTTGAAGAAAAAATTTAATTTTAAATTCAACTTTTATGTATATATATTCTTCTACTAATACCGATGCAAAATGACATTGTATATTTATAATGTATTTATGTATTTATAACAGATTGTACATTGGTATCTTTCTATACAGGTACACACGTACATTGACATCTTTAAAATCCGAATAAAATTTGAGCTTTGTCACGAAAAAATCGAATCATCACGGCGCGACGAACGTTTTGCCTTCTGCTTGTCTTCGCTATGAAGATTGACGGCATTAATTGGATCGAGGAGGACGACCTAATCTTAGATTTTTATTGCTCGCGTTGCGCAAGGATAAGCTTGTGTGTACGTGTAGCCGTTTAACGGCAAAGCCTTACCGATTTTCTCTCTCCGCCGTTCCTCTCTCGCGTCTACTCTCGCTGAATTAATGACTGTTCTCGGTACGAGCCGACGACGTCGGTCGGTCGATCGGTGTCGTAATAGCCGACTGGATCTATCGTAAGATCGATGGAGATGCGCCGCGATATATACAATACGCAAAAGGTGTCGTAAGAGCAGGAGATACAACGCCGCGTCTGAGCAGAGCCCGATGATGCAGTCGCGAATCCTCGCGCGCGATTACGGCGCAATTTTCGCTCTTACACCAGAAATTCAAGTACTGAAGTGTGTCGAGTCGATGGCAAAAGACTCTTACAATAATAAGGTTTGCAAAACAGCGACGAAAATCATATATACACCCGCTGCGTTTCCGTTTTCTCGAAATCGTCGATTCATCGTGTTTTTTTCTCATTGAACAAATCTATCAAATTTTATGTAATTTTGTATATAATTTTATATCATTTTTTCCCAATTATTTCGAATAATGAATATTGTCTATTTGTTTGTTGCAGTATGGCTCGGATGAATTTGGGCAGGACTCGCCGAGATACACGTCGCCAAAGGGTGCCCTTTACGCAGACTCTTATTATATCGGTAAGTGAGAGAGAAAGCAAACATTATATTGGTAGAATAAGAAACAATTCGGATCGATATCGATTTTAATAATTTCGATAAGGAAAAATTTTACGCGGTGTCGATTGTCGCATGAATCATCGTTGTGCTCAAAATAAGTAAAGCACCCACGAATGATAACGAATTAAAATAGAGCGCGTGACAACGAATTCGCGCGTTATCTCGATTACTAATTTTATAAAAGTAATTATGAAATAGATTATTAACTTATATATCTGCTAATCGATATCAACGTGGATATAATTAAACGAGATAGCGGTAGAAAGCTTCCGGAGGGTTCGCGATAGATTGATCGTTATCTGGAAATCAGCCATCGGCATAGACGCGTGTATATATGTACACACACACACACACACACATATATATATATATATATATATATATATGTATATATATGTATATATATGTATATATATGTATATATCATTTGAAAATCGCATAACGATCCGAATGGACGATAAAAGGGATTTTACGAGCGCGCTAATATTCAACCGTTTAACGTTCGCTCGTAAAATTTGCCGTTCTGCCTGTCGCGCGTAAAAACAATAACAATCTCGTTATTTGTTCAAGCGCGGCGGGGGGAGGGCGTCGAAGTTCGTCGCTGGGATTTCGCGGGTGTATCCCCGATGCCGACGTCGAAAAAAATTCCACGGAAAACTTTGTCGACGAGATATTGCCAATAAAAGCAATTTTCCCGGGCGTTCTTTCCTGCGCGCTACTTTGTTGTTATAACGACACTTATTAAAGCCCCGACGTCTTAGTAGCGTTATCTTAATAATTTTCCGTCGCGGAAAGTCGCTCCCCTCTTTGACGTACGTGATACTTTTTTTTTTTGCGCACGATATGCTCGTTAATATCGATTTATACGTCTCTCCTAAATTGATTTACCCGTGGAATTTACCCTGCGCGTGTTGTGTGTCGAAATAATGATTATGATTCGCGCGCAAATCACTCCAAATGGTCCACATTAGTCGAAGCTGCGGCTTAGCTTTACAGATGCAATTGCGACTTGTAGATTATAACGGATCTTTGAAAAATAAGCGTCATCTCAGCAACACAGCTGCAGCTTTTAACGTCGTCACGCTCTGAGTTTCGCGGATACGCGTCATAGATCCTTAGAGTTGTGCGATGAAAAGTCGTCCGCGTATCTAAATTGACATTTATTATTAAATTAATATATATATATGGAATTTAATATTTTGAGCGAATATGAAAAAGCATTTAATTTCGCCGAGAGAAAGGAAGCGATGGAAAAGTCACGAATTAAATACAAATAAAAATACAGGACGCACGCGTATAGCTAATCATAAAAAGAGAAACATATAAAACGAATACGTTCTATTTGAGAAAAAGTTTCATATGCATAAATATGCAAATATTCAAGATAATCTAAATGATGATAGATCCTATAAAATCGGCAAAGTTTTCGCCGCGAGGGTTCGTTATTATGGATCAGATGAGAAAAGTAGCAGTTTAAGTACGCTTTCGAAATATGTGTCGGCGCTCGTGGCACCCGGTAGCTGACCGGAATGGCTTATAAATGGGAGGCCACGACGAGGGGGTGGGCAGGGGAGCGAAAAAGTTTTATCAGACATCGAACACCGGTAGTTGGTAGGAACGCCCGAGTAGTTTGGCTTAGTTTCCGTTTTCTCGTCGAGGAGCGCCCGGTACGGGAATTATATCAAGCAAAAGTATCAAGAAATACGTTCCCGAAGCTTATTGCTGTTGTTTTCAACTGAAATAATGGTCTGCGCCGGGTACCGCGTCTATTGGCCCTTATACCGGGTGTGTGTGTGCCTTCACCGCAGAACGACGCCGGGACGACTCCGAGTGAGATGTTAGAAAGCGCGAAATTTCGACTTGGCGAAAGTCCAGCGAAGTTGTATCATATCGCGAGAGAGAGGGAGGAAGAGAGGGATTCGTTCTCGAAATAATTATTGCGGGGAAGGAACGACATCGTTACTTGATTAGGAAGTTTGGCGCGCCGCGGGTTTTCCAAGCGGAACGTCGTGTTTTAATTGACCGAAATTTTACGAACATGGGACGAAAGATATTTTGATTTCCGACGAACAAGAAAGAAATTTGCTTCAACGTGTCGCACGGCGGATGCACTTTAAATTCGATTCGGAAGCCCGATTATTTGGCCACGTGCGCGATGTTCTTTGCTCGCCGAATGTCACGTGCCGTACTATTTGTTATTTCCCGCTCCGATGATGTAGAAAGTGCACGTAATAATACGACGAGGCACTATCGGCATTCTACAATAATTCAATTACATCAAGCGAAAAAGAACTTTTATAGAATTGACAAAAGCGACTTTTCCTTTTGTCCCCCAAAAAAAAGAAAAAGAAAACATTTCTGCGAAAGAGATCTACAATAACACTTATAATTGTATTATCGAGATATTTTCGTAACTTTCTCTTTCCGATGCTTGATTTGGGATCTCGGACAAGCCACAATCAGCTGACACACATGATTGATCGAATCGAATTTTTGTTGCAGATGGCAATACCGCAGGAACCGGTCCTGGTGATCCGTGGACGGGTAGCGGCGGTGGTGTTCAACCCCCATACAGTGGATATGCACCCCCTCACCTGGCGCAGCCAGCCTACCCAATGCACCTACCCCACGACCCCATGGTAAGTGATTTTTCTTCCACCTCTTTCTCTCTCTTTCTCTTTTATCTCCTTTCCCACCCTTCCTATATCCCAACTACCTTCTAGTCGCGGTCGAACCCGAAGAAACGATCAATCACGCGTGACTCGGCTGCTGGTTCCTTCTCCGGAGCCGCTGTCGTAGAAAACGACGCCTCTGGAACTTCTTAATAGACACGAGAGGATATTCCTCCTCTCGGAATTCTCTCTGTCCTTCAACATACGAGTCCGACGAGGAAGTCGACAGATTAAAACCTAAGCGAGCGACCTAATCTTGATACTCTCCCATCCTCTCGAAAGATCGATGTACCTATCGAGCAACGTGTTTTCCCCATCCCGAAAGTTATGAAGTTTGACGAAACCTTGAACGCATCATCGGCGTTGTGTCGGATAGAAATTTGATCGATGATAAAAAATTGATTCCGAACCCGGAAGACACCTCGTACCTGCTAATTTTTCGCAAGCTTCTTCGTAGATTCAGTCTTTCTTTTTTTTTTTTTTGCTTTTATTCGACCGACGATATATCGAGAATTGAAAAAAGAGACGAAGACGGCTATTTAAGACGCATCTCTCGGACGAGATTCCGATTTTTCTCACTGCACAATCGAGAGAAAACATCCTTCGACAAATACACAAACTTTTTGAAGATTTATCGTTTCGTTTGATGGCTTTCCGCGGAACATGATAAGGGGAGCCCCGATCGAGGAGACGAAATGCACTAAATCTCGGGCGGGAATTCGCTCTCAGAAGAGCGCTCCGAGGTCGTCTCGAGGACGAGCCGCGCGTCGCTTCTCGGTCGGTCGGCCATTACTCTCCGACTTAACGGCGTCGACTTTAATCCTCTTCATTTGATCGTGATCCGCCGTGACCAGCTGGCGGACTCTTTCTGCCCGTCTTATTTCGGACCACCCGGTCGATTGTCGCGTGCTCGCGACAGGAGAGAGACGCGTACCTTCTCTCTTTCTCTCTCTCCCCGTCATTTCTCCACGGTTGAGAGACACTGTTGACAGTGCTTCGCGTACCCAGGAGTAACGTCAAATGACTCACTGGCGTCTATATATAGACCTTCGACCCTCCCGCTACTCCGTGTTTCTAGTCAAGTGCAGCCTTCGTTTGATTTACGCCGTTCATGGTTACCACGAAATCCTCCTCTTCGTGGCACCTCGTACCACGTCTCTCTCGGCGGTCTCTTTCTCTTTGAGACAACTAGAGGAGGTTTCTGCTCCCGGCGTGTGACGTCGCGATTGCGACGAGATACCTCCGATGAGAATCGCCAATAACTTGCACGCGGCGCATATTGTTTTATTTTCCCTAAACATTATTCTGGAATGTCTGCGAGGTGCATGTACATATCGTATATATACAATGGATTGTTGTATAAACTTCCGGGCGTACTCGAATTATAAAGACCGCTTAAACTTTAACGACCGTAAGACAAGCCATTTTATTATCCGCTCGCGTAGCTGCAGCGAGGTCTTTCGACCTGCGTGATATGACAAGAAATGTCGTAAAGAGGTTGTGTACGATTTAGGATGAACGCGCCCAAGGAGAGGAAGATGGAATCAAGAGCGTCCCGAGGTAAAGATTTCTTTCGTTTACCAAGGGTTAAACATTTACGAGCCTAGTTTAATGACCCATCTTCCGAGAATGCGCGACCGTCGAAGAATCCCTCTGCTGATGTCTCTGTTTTTTTCTCGTCCGTCGACGATCCGAAAGCCCGCGTTCGATCGTTGCTTCTTCATAAAATATATCGCGCTGATTAAAAGGCGATGTTTAACAGACTCTTTTAGTAGGCCACTCTAATTTGTTGATAAATACACTAGAGCGCCAGCGGTGGCTTAAAATTAGACTTTTACGAGTGAGTTTTCAGTAGGTGCGAGAGAGCGCTATTCCGCTCTCGGCGGTATCCGATATCAAAGCTGGTCAGAGTGATCCATTATGACCAGAGAAAGAAAGAAGAAGAGAGACGCGTTTAAAAAAAATGGTCGAGCGCAGCTTCTCGAAATCACTCGAGCCTTCTTGTAACCCGGGAATCTTTATCGTTTGTAGCTACACGAGAGATAAATCAAACTCGGTTTCGCACGTCCGCTCCCTCGTTTCGCTCTCAGAAAAAGCCTTTCCTTTGAGATCCCCTTACCGGAAATCCTCAAACACCGTACAAAATCTTTCCAACAATAAAAGGAAGATAAAGAGAGACTAAGGGTATAATAACACTGTTGCGTGTCTACAAGTCGATATCGGTATCCTTCGTCGAAATAAGCCTCAAGTTTAGCCTCAAGTTTAGCCGAGTTTCCAACAGAAACGGAAGACAGACTTGGACGAAGACAGAGATACAGAAATTCGACAATTAATTACCTCGAAGACGTAAAGCATGTATGTTGTTCACCAAGACACGTGACACACCTCGCCGCAAGAACCAAGCGTCGAACCATTTGCGCTCGGCGGTTTCAGGCATACTCGGCGATGTCGCCGAACGGTGAATCTGCAGCGCCGATCCTGGGCTCGGCGGTGACCAGTGCGGCTTCCCTGCCGCCAATGTCGACATTCCGGGGTAGCGCCGCGGTCGCGGCGAACAGCGGCACAGGGGCGCCGTCCCCGGCATCGTTGCAATATAGCCATAGTCCTGGTGCACCGACGACCGCGCCCTCCGCGCCCAACGCTGCGCCCACGACGAATCAGCAATCTACCACGGACGACACCCTCGGCAAGACCCTCGCCTCAGTCGTAAGCAACCGAGTACGTGGCCCTCCGCAATCTTAGAGATTTATCCTCGAATGATCGCGAAACTTTTCATACTTTGGAAATTATGTAGGTCTGTCAACTTGCCACCCCGAAATGCGAATCGGTTTTTTCCATCATGTAAACAAAATTTAAAATAACAATTTGAATTAATTTTGAGATGCACCCACATTTATAATTTTAATTAATTTTAAATAATCGCACTTAGGGAATGCTTACAATGAAACTTATATGTTGTTGATCTTTTTGTTTATTTTTAATTTTTATTTGCAAGGTGGACAAAAGACAATTATTTATGGTCAAACATGAACAAATAATAGGCAATCAAAATACATGTCATGATTATCTATGAACAAATGTGGACGAATTGTGGACAATCGATTCGCACTTTAGGGTGTCAATTCCATAGACCTCGTTAAGCATAAAGATCTAAAAATTCATAAAATTAAAGAGAAAAGTTTTTCTTCGTTAAAAATATTTCGAGGCTACGCTCTAGCTTGCACTGATGTGCAAATGTGAAAGAGAATTTTCATAAAAAAAAGACTTCTTCAGGAATGATAAAAATCTTGCAATGATCTAAACTAGCTGAAGTGCTACCTACATACCACGCAATCATTTGAGAGTTAATGAATATCTTCTCACTGAAAATGAGAATGCTCTCTCTATATAAAATAACGTTGTACATTTTAGTCGAGATGACAGAATGCTTGGAATAATCTCGATAATTTAGCTGAAGACGCTGAAGAGCGCGTGCATTTGACAATCGATAATTTAACTTACTCGCGTGCTCCCTTTGCGGACGATTTCGACAAGTGCGACTTTGATAATGTTATACACGAGCTGCGACGTTTTTCGCAGATTTTTCCCACGGACCAATCAGTATCCAGTTATAGCAGTAATCCATCTACTCCCGTCAGTTCGCCGCCACCTTTAGCCGGCTCGGCTCCAAGCTGGGCACCTGGAGCCGCGCCAGTGTCCCCGCACTTTACGGCGGACCCAAATCGTGGTATTCACATGGTACGTATTCAAGTTACTCTCCACCACTGAATTTTTCTCCACCACTAATTACGAACAATCTTACAAACGGACAGTCGCAGGATCTTTTCAACGTTCCATTCCCTTTCGTGTTATCGAAATCTTGCCGACTTTTCTATCACTTTTATGACAAACACATACTATATATATATATAATTATAATGATATAATTTTTCGTTGAATGGTTCCTGAGACACGCGTATGTTCACGCTGCGTCAAGTTTGGCCGCTTTAGAAACACGCATACGATAATTCACTTTACACGAGTACTCAAAGTATCAGTTATTTTTTTCGATCATATTTTCAATATATGTATAAGTACATATGCTAATGCGATACGTCGATAATATTATTAATAGGACACGTGTTATAATTCTTATTTTTTTCCAAGGGAGGGAGAGAGGGGGGGGGGGAAGATGAAGTGATCATATTACAAATGAATACAAAAGACTCAAGAGAGGATGTACTATTTTTTTTGTCACGTCACATTTAAGTACATTTGTACAAAGAATTACAATCGCTCTTGGCACATAATCATTTTAGCACTGAAGTCGCACAAATAGCATGATTGCGTCGCACCGAGAAATCATCGTTTGTGTGCTTTCCTCACGAACGGCTATCTATATTTATATCCCCCCGTCCCCCTTCGCTCTATTAAAGAATTTATTAAGTTTATCGTGTTCATTTGACATATTTTTGTTCATTCCGTCCTGTTTGTTGTGAACGTTGTGTTGACTTGGTTGTTCTCTTTTTTTTTTTGGTTTTGTTGTTGCGTTGGTGTTGTGTGTGAAGCCGGCGCCTGAACAGCAGAGGCTAGACGATGCCATCGGCTTCCTTCGCGACCATGCCGAGGTGAGGATTGCCGAATTTCAGTTTTTTTTCCCCTTCTTCATTCGCTCATTTTATTCTCTTTCTTCACATTCTTTTACGCATGTTGTTCTTTACGCCGTGAACCACGAGGACGTGTCCATTGCACTTTTTGCAAGATGATTACGCTTTTTCGGATGATTATGATTATATATTGTGATAAAGTCTTCATTGTACACAATTTATAATCATAGCTTCAACTTTTATTAACACATTCGCGTTTCGACATTAAATAAACTGCGTTTAATCAAATTGATCGATCGAATTCACTTTTTTTTTTTTTTTAATACTCTCGTATCTTTGCCTCTTTTCCAAAGTTTATTTCTTTGATCAGCGCAACTAATTATCTTTCTATCGCGGAATCTTCAAAATTTTATAATCAAAGATTTCAATTTTTTTTTCCTTGCGCGAAACTTTTTTAAAATCAACTTTATAAATAGAATGATAAGACAAGCGCGTCTGTAATTTTCTATATTTAACAAGGCGGACGCCTTATCTCGAACTACTGGCGCGTAATCGAGTCGAATCTTCGGTATTCTGTTGGTACAGGGGACACGGATGGAGGAACGACTAGACGATGCCATAAACGTTCTGAGGAATCACGCCGAGAGTCAAGTGGGCCTTCACCTCGGCCCGGTTGGTCCACACGGCGGGATATACTCGCATACCTCACCACCGCAGCTGGACCATCTGGTAAGAATAATTTGGAATAATTGCCGTAAAACCGAATATCGGAACGTTCCCTCTCCCCGTTCTTCCTACCCCCCTTTAACTGCAATATACAGTGTATGCTACATCTTTCAGACGAGTCCACATCCTGCGGTAACGGTAACGCAACCTCAGGGTTCCTACCCCGGTCTTACGCCCACGCCCGATACAGATGGTTCCATTAAAATAGAAAGGTTACCTGTGACAAATGCCAGTAAGTTGATCCTGAAGTGGTATTGGAAATGTACATTACGATATAATTTACGACATGGAAAAAAAACGAATATTTTTTCTATGAAAGAATTGATAAATCAAATAATTCTGACGCGTTGCATTAAATGATTTCGATCACATGTCAATCTATTTTTCTCGTCATCGCATCATCGAAAGCGGTCACTTTTCTCGTATGTATATCTTCCTGCGAGGGAGAGGAAAAGAGGAAGGAGTTCCCAGGTGTTCCGCAACGGAGTCGCGCGGCCGAATAAGGAAATATTAGATAAATCACGCGGGGTCTTTGCTGTCCGGCGGTCGTGCCTACATTATTCCCGCGAGTACGGTTCGGTTATCTCGCTCTTCGTTTCTCTTTCCGCGTTCTCGTCGGGTCTGTCTCTCTTTCAGTTTCTTACCATTAGAACCATTATGCCGTCGGAGAGAACATTTAAAATCCTTTTACTACGGATTAGGAGATCCCCCGTTTCACCATTGGTCGTATAGGAACGCGCAAAACATTCGCGCGGACTTGGAAACTATTTATGCGCTTTGTGTACGTGGGAATAAATGATTTCTGTGAAAATTAATGTATCGAGAACTCTGAATAATCCATGCAAAGTCTTTCGCACAGGAAAATACGTGAAATTGCGCAAATATTTTCAATGTTCCGTTCGATAGTTTCGGTGCGCTATTGTTAAATAAATGTGATCGCGTATTTTTGCATGCAATTGTGTATCTGATTTATCCGCCGCGATCTGATTTATCTCGCGGAAACTTTTGCTTTTAAAGACACATTTGCGGGATATACGGTACTCGACTTAATACTCTCGCGGTGAATTGTCAAGCGAGAAAGTATTTATGGAGATCGGCTGAATCAGAATTGAGCGAAATCCCGCAAAGTGCGCTTCCTGCTCCTAATTGGACGCTTTTCACAGTTTCATGACTAAGACTTGCTATCTAAAACTCGGAGAGAATCGAAGATCGTGATTGCCATTTTCGACGAAGGTCGGCCGCGTTTATTCTTTCTCAGTTTCCGGGTAGCCGCGTGTGTCATTTTTTTCCCAGTTGCAGTCAGAAATAAAGTTGATGTATATTTTATTCGGTTTTTTGTTCTATTTCGTAAATTATACGTACATGCATAACAATGCAATTGTCTCGTGAAAACTATACGACAGTATTAATAATGAGCAGAATACATCCCCTTAGAAAAGAGGAAAGATCCGCCCGACAGTAGTGGCGGTGAAACGAAACCATCGAGCAGCGAACTTGCGGCGGCAGGTGTAATCGGAGCTGCTACGGTCAATTCGACGTCGCAGGGAAAAGGGACGAAGAGATCGCGCAGATAGTAAGTATTTGGAAAAATTTTCGAGACATTAAGACGACAGAAAGTCTCTCTTCGTCAAAAGATAGACACGTGAGGAGGCGCGACGGTATTAAAAATTTGAGAGAAACTCACGCGACACACATATCAATATATGCTGTTTCATTCTAAAAAAATTCTCGAGACGTGTTTGATGTACTTATTGATTCGAAATTTGATTCGACGAACGATCTCTCGTAATTGGATGACTTGGAAATGCTTATATACATGTCGACTTTCGAAAATTTGCTCTCGAACTAACTTGCTGTGTCTTTGAATAACCGTTGTTCGAGCGCTGACGAAGACTGCGACGATCCTGGCACTAAAGCGGTGCGCGAGAAAGAACGTCGCCAGGCCAACAACGTGCGTGAAAGGTTAGTGAACACACGCAGTACGCACTTCGTTTTGCATCTTGATATATACGAAAACAATTCCCGTTCTTCCCGTTCTCTTCTCAAATCCTGTATCCCGATATACATGTACGTATATGTCGCTTACGATTACGTGAGCGATACGTGCGTATATCTCTATCGCCGAATATGTAAGATATTTATACGAAACTCCGTTGCACATTCTCTCTCTCTCGGAAAGAGAGAGAGAGAGAGAGAGAGAGAGTAACTCCTACTTAGTCGTATGCATGTCTAAACGAGATGCTATTTGTAATGAGCAATAAACTGCGAGATGTAATAAATTTCACGATTCACAAACGATCGAAAAACACGTGGCATGTTTACGGCTTTGTTACGACATCAAGGGTCCCGCAATCCGAAGCTTCCTTTATATCCGTTGCACTTGTACATAAGGCCCGTATTCAAGCGTGAAAATTAAAATGTTTCTGGTTAGAAGGACAGAAATGAGATGAGACAAGATGAAATAAATCTGTTAACAGCTCTCTCTTGCGTACCTGCAAATCAGTCTCATTTTAATTTAACTGCGATTCGGCCCCTAGGCATGCTATTTCGTTTAGAACCGCACTTATTCTACATCACTGAACGTTGCATCAAGAATTGCTCAGTTGTATAGATTTTTTCTTCATTTGTCGTGTTAAAAATTTTTGATTATTTTTGAAATAATAGAATATGTCATATTAATTGTAAACTGATAAATTACCGATATGTTGGTCATATTTATATTACTCTTAATTTTTGAACTTTATTATAACTGTCATATTCTAAAAATAAGACTTGATTACACTGAGAAATTTTTTTCAAGAACGTTCAATTAAATATCTATTTTAACATTAATAATATATTTTCGATCTCTCTCTTGTCATTCAGTTGTTTTATTTTTTTTATTAATTTGTCATTACACCTTCCAAATTCTGTAATCCTATACTATACTGACAATTATAGATGTCATCTGCATTCTGAATTTTCTAGGTAATCAACATCAAAATAGAAGATCTACATTTTTCGATCCACGATCATTATCCTTTGATTGATTGACGTGATTATTCGTCACCGATTGTTTGTTCTGTGCAAAGAATACGGGCCTTTAAATTTGTACCTACTTACTATCCACGATTTCAAAATTATGAAACTACCTGCGTGTGTTCATTGTCATATCGCTTGTATTTTATACGAAAAAAAAATCATACGAAATCCGCTCGAACAACAACTAGATAGATGATTAGGCATCAGCAAGTCGAAAGCAAATTTTGTCGCAAATTGCGACTGTATGTGTGTCACTCACATTAGTAATTCGTTTGCTGTCAGGTAATTTAAGTGATATAGGCTAGAGAGTAAGTTGAAGTAAAACCAGGTGATTAATCGCGTATTGTTATTGCGCAACTGTTGTTCGAGCGCCGAGGACGAGGATGATGATCCCGACATGAAGGCACAAAGAGAGAAAGAGAGGCGGCAAGCAAATAACGCTAGGGAAAGGTAAGATCAATGATATACGCAGCGGACGTAAAAAATTTGATTTTTTAATTGATCCATAGTAATGTGATCAATTCTGATATAAGTCAGTAGTAACAACGGCCCGTATTCTATGCGTATGTGATATAACAATACGACATGAATTCTAACTTTTGATGACGAAAATAATTGTCATATTTGTATAATATTACGGAATTTCAGTATGCTTACCTTTACTTTTTATCAAAATTGTAGGTGCTTTAAACTTTCGAGTGATAGTGTACATAAGATAGCTCACATAACTGTTAGCAGTTTAATAAGTCAAGAATTACGCGATCAATTTTAATTGTTTTGATCTCGAATTTTATAGATCTTAGGAGTTTTTAAATTTATTAAAAGTTTGAACCTCAGCCAATCCTTCTAGAGAGTGCTATTCATATATGTGTGTATATATATATATAGCTTTTTGTTTGTAAACACAATGAAACGTAAATTATCAAGAATCTTAGAATTTGTGCTTTGATCCATGTCTTGAGGAATTAATTTTATTCTTAGAATATGTTTACGTGTGAATAATCATCATTTTTAGCATTTAATAAATTGAATTATATAATGTTACTTTGTGTTTCTCAAATTTTTATTTTCAGTTAATTACTATTTAATCATTTAATTTCGAATTTTAACACTTTTAAAGAAATAGTTTTAAGACAAAAATAATCTCGACAAAAATTGAATTGATTTTACATAAATACCTATTTGAAATTTTAAAGTTGTTCTCTGCTTTGTTCAATCTTAGCATAAATTTAAAAGTTTCTGAGCGCTATAAAATTTGAAACTAGAGACTAGATTAAATTTCATCGCGCATAATTCTGGAAATATTAAGTTATTAACAGTCACTCTGTGTATATAATTCCTACTTGTTACGCATGCTTATATATTTTTATTAATAAGAGATATAAAAAATGTATGATTTTGCAATGCATAATAATATTTCTTTAAAACTTGCGTTACTATACTAACATTTTCTATTGTAAAAATATATGAGAGAATATTTCTTAATAAGCTTAATGTTCACAATGAGTGTGTAAGTACATACGGTATAAAAGATGTAACAAATTATTTAAAAACTCTAAATTTTTCTCCAATAGATTAAAATTTACGCAAAAATATTTGATTAAACTTTCTTTAAGAAAGTAATAGAAACTATAAATGTTTAAATTTTATCTTTCACAATAGGATACGTATCAGAGATATCAATGAGGCTCTAAAAGAACTTGGCAGAATGTGTATGACGCATCTAAAGACAGACAAACCTCAAACGAAGCTCGGTATTCTCAACATGGCTGTTGAAGTTATAATGACACTCGAACAACAAGTCAGAGGTACGTATATCAACTTGCGTGTTTATCGTTAGTCGTTGTATCGTATCGATATGTATTAACAGTCGCGTGTGTTTAATGTATCCTTTCTTTGTTCAGAGCGGAATCTTAACCCGAAAGCTGCGTGCTTAAAAAGAAGAGAGGAAGAAAAAGCCGAGGATGGTCCTAAGTTACCAGGCCATCTTGCAGCGCACATAGCACACCCGCATTCTCATCCACATGCACACTCCCAACCACCCTTCCCCACATTACCTGTAAGATTTTGTTAAAATACAGTTTCGTTTATATAACATAGAGATGTATAATGAAATATTTTATTTAAATATATATCTTTGTTTCAGGGTCCACAACCTTCCCTTCAGCACAATCCACCACAACCGCAGTAGCAGCGGCTCAGTGGCAGTATCATTCTGTGTTAAGGGGTAGATACATCTTAAAATCGATAACAAGTTTACGAATATAACTTGCATATCTATATAGAAATTTTTTCTGCTCTCATATAAGTTGTAGGAGTGTGCAAAAAAATTATGAATGTTATTGTGATGCGCTGCGTTGATCGAAAAAAAGAAAAGGAAAGAGAATATAATTAATCGTTATATAAAAAATTGTTTCATCCAATCGTGTTTTTAATATTTTTTTTATTTATAACGTTATTATATTATATATTTTAATATTATAATTATATTGTAAATTTTTTTGCGTAAAATTATTTTAAAATTATTTATTTTCCAATATGCATTTCAGTATTATTGTAAGTGCGATACAAGAATAGACATTATTTTTTTGCAACATTTCTATAATATGCAGTTAATAAGAAACACTGTATGCTTACACAAGCATAGCGCAAGTAGTTTTAAGAGGCATCTACCCCCTCAAGGCGGCTTCAAATTATTTTTATAAATAGCGGAAAGAAAAAAAACAAAGGAATATGGTTCCTCTCTTTCGAGATATATAATGTGTAGTACGATCGAGGTTTTATTAACGGTCGGACTTCGCTGCTGACTCATGTTAAATTGCCCATTTCTGTGTATACACTACCGTTTATGTTATAACGCGCAATAGGTAGGAAGAGAACTCGAGTTGGCGGAAAACAGAGTCACTGACTAAAGATTAAGATAAAGGCAATATATTTTTGGTTTGATTGAAGGAAGTAGGTATACTTTTCCATGATCTAAATTGACGAAATCGGCAAATTCCGATGATTTTATAGAAAACCTTTTTTAAGCTTTTTTTTCATATCTTATATCGATGTAAATATAATATATGATTATGTCGCCTTTATATTGATCATTAGACGTTGGCAATACTGTATATAGAGACTATTGTTTACGAGCGTTCAGAATCTGAATGTGTTGAAGATGCTAGCGGTTCGTTCACGCTCGCGAAAAACGCCACCCTATAAACTGATTCGCGGTGTGATAAGAAAATCACATTCCGACACTTGCAGCTTCTTTCTTGACAGATGTAACTATTGGAAACAAAGAAAACGAGTTTTTTGCCATTTTCATATATTATTTAATTAAAAAACTCGCTTTTGAGTTAAAAAAAATATATACTACTGAATTATAATGTAACACGTGTGTATTATATACACATATGTTATATTTTCTAGATTTGGAATATATAAATAATTCGGTTGTAAGGATAGTTCGATTTGATTAAAAAAGCTGCAATTTTCAAATAACGAATATTTCTTATGACATCGCGTTGCATAAAATACTCCAACTTTTAACATCAATTTACCGTCTATTACTGAAAGAAAATATGAAAAGAGAAACATGGCTACAAAAATATCCTATTTAACAAAGTTATCAACATATTTATTTTATTATTGTTCAAGCGTTTTTTTACGGCTAGAATTGATTTGATTACGTATGCCATTTAAGTGCCATTTAGAATTCTCTTGATTTTAACATCAAGCTGGATATTATTAAAGCATTCAGTTATAGTTTATATTAAATGTAATTTATACATCCCCATTATACATATATTGCATGCAGATTAATTTTAACTGGTAAGCCATTTTAATTATTTCGAATTTGTATAAAATATTTCTATAGTAACTGTAGGAAAAATAGCGTGAACGATCCGTGTCCAAAACCGAAAGCGTACTATATAAGGGGAATAACACTATAAGAGATAACATTCGCGCATTTCAATAAATAATTTGTTAATTATTTTACTTCAATGATCGTTCGGAACGATCTTTAATTTAAGAATAATGAAGGATTTTTAATTTAAGAAGCCATTTTAAAGCATCCTTGAGTTATATATTAATCATTTTTACTAATTATATATCTTTTATGGTCTGTGTTTCGACACAAAAAGATACAAATTATAATGGAATAGATTGTTTCAAGTATTAATACAGCAAAAAGAAACATTGGATAATAAAAAACGCATGAAAAGGAAGATTTAAGAAATTCAAAAGTATTCAGATTGTACGCTTTGTTTTCATCGCAATTCGCTATGCTGAGTGCGTTGCGATATATCATCAGTAAGAATTGGAATATATTTGTATGTGCCAAGATGTGTGCATTGCGAAAAATATTACAATGTCTGCAGCGAAATGTATCCTTATCACGACATATAATAATATATGTTTAAAGGATGCACTTTGCAAATGCATTATGCAATGCTTTTCATTCTCGATGTTGCTGGAGATAAAAAAAGATTTACGATGACATCCACTAGTTTTGGTATATTGTCGACTCACTCTGGACCTTCTCGGGCCTTCGGGATGCTCCTCTTCCTGCGCTATATTTGCCACTGATTATTTGGGCAAAATTTCTGTACTTATATGTACGCGATAAAGTGGAATATAGATGAATCAAGCGGAATAATAAGCTTTATAAGACGTGCTTAAGATCGTTACGAACACAATTCAACTCGCACAAGTATGAGAAGAGCCAAACCAATCCCAATCATAATCATGATTAATTATTATTAATTATTATTATTATTATTATTATTAATTATTATTATTATTATTATTTTATCAGTTAATTACCGCCAATGAGATCTTTCGCGAGGGAAAAAAAAGAACGGGACATTTTTGTTTTTGAACAAAAATATAGCTCAAACATATCTGTACCCAGTTGCCATGTATTTTAATTTATATTTAAATTCTTAAATAAATTTTATTGAAAAAAATGAAAAACCCAACGAAAACGCATTAAGTGTCCGTGCTTACTTCGCCTATTTTCTGCTCTATTTTCTTTTTCCCTTTCCGTTCGTCTATTGAGAGTAGTTTCTTACACAATGTACACGCGTAGCTATATTTTTCTTCAAAAACACGAAAGTTTTTGAGATTTAATGAAAAATTACATATTTATGTTATATGTTTCTGTTCGGGTTCTTTAACAAACTTTTTCTTTAATGTCACTCGAGATCTAAATTCATATCAAAACAAATATAGGTCAAAAACACATATCATGTATATTTATCGTGTAATTATGTGCAAAATATTTTCTCTTAATTGATTTTTAAATGACCATTTAAATGAATTTTTAAATGATCCTTTAATTCTATCGTTTTCGTAACCATGTGTTCTTCCGAATTACTTAATTTACTCACTACATTGTTTACAAAATTATATGATTATCTTAAGCGATAATATGCTGTGTATCCGAAAAAATTTCTTCAATTTTGTATACGTTGATTCTCCCTTTCTGCACATAGATATATATGCAGGATTCTCGATTTTGATAACGATTGAATGTTTGCGTTAATCATATGAATGACGATACGATGTGTCGAAAAATTTTTATAAAGTAACCTGCAGTTGGATATACACAAATGTGGAAATGTAAAATAAAAATCACTCTATGATTGCAAGTCAAAAAGCAATTATACAGGTGGCTAAGGAGTACTATTAATATTCTGACGTAATATTTGATACAATATTGACATTGTAGATATATTTTTATTTTTTGATGTTTTCAAAACAGTAAATGATATAGCAGACAAGAAAAGAATTAATAAGATTGTTCCATAACTGATTTTTATAAGCTGTAAGCTCATTTAAATATTTTCTAGATCATAGATTTATCGTAAAATCACTTTTGTTCTCGATCAGGATCTATAGACTAGGAAATCTGATCGGCAAGAACTCGCACAACCTCGCTCCACGTTTAATTAATAATCATTAATCATGCTCCGTTGCTTCGATGCAACGCTTTATAAAATTATACTTAATAAAAAGGAGAGAAAGAGAGAGAAAAGAAGAAAAAAGAGAAAACGTAACGATAATTGTACATTGCGATAAACTGCAAAAAAAGCCGCTCACAGACACTAATAAAATACACGATCACACACTTGTATTCGCGAAGGTAATCATGTAAAATAATAACGACAATAAGTAGCTCGTAAGCCAGTCTAAGCTAGACACTTGTCGATAGTCGTAGATAGTCAAAGTGAATCTGAGCGAAGACACGTCTACACGGGGAGGGGTTTCGAAGTCCAAATCATCGGCCATAAAAGGCTCCTTCACACAGACCTTTGTACATGAAACGAAATAATTATGCTCTTAACAACGGCGTTATTTTCGAATACGTGCATATCGAGGATGGGCACCGCATTTTCCTTTAACGTATAACGAGTTGGTTGGTAAACTCCGATAAGGAATGAACTTATGATTACGGTTTAGCGTAAATAACGATGAGAGAACGTAAGGAATTATTTGTTGCGGTTTAATCGTGTAAGGGTTCAGTTTTATTGGTACAATTGCGAATCGATAATTATCATATCATGTAAGGTGTAACTATATTAGATATATAATATTGTATAATATGTAATAAAAAAAGGATTAATGCGTAAGTGGGTTGGTTGTAGACAGTTTGTGTGAATGGGCCTGAAGGATATTGAAACCGATCTTTTCGACCCTATATGCGATTAAGGAGAATGCGACTATTAATATTAACGAAGTACGAGATGAATATATAAATATATAAACTCTTCTCTTAACAAGAGAGAAAGAGAGAATAAGCGAGAGTGCGCGAGAGAAAGAATGTGAGAGAGTGAACAAATGTATCGATTGAGAAAGAAAAAAAAAATATGTAATTATATCATTAGTAATATTACTATCACACTAATATAATAAATGTGCCATTTTTTCCATAATCGCAGTGTCGCCTAACGTGGCTCTTGGGCGATCCGTCAAACGTCTTGTTTTTTGTTTCTCTTTTTAAGATACGCATTCTGACATACGCTATTTGCCATCGTTTGCTTTTTTTCTTTCTCACTCGTTATTTTATTTGTATATTATACTCTCAGTATTTTAGACAATATATTTACATTACGTTTTACGTTTTGCTCCTATGATACGTCTCGGTTTAAGTTCAATTATACTTCATTATACGCAGAACTTTACAATTAGCTACATTATGCACAGTATGTAGATACTTTTAGATATTAATGAGTACAGCACGATTTGTACTTGCTCATCGTCTCTAAACTGATGACGCCACAAAACTTTACGAACTATTACACATACAAACGTATGGAGTTCGCATACTTTGGACTCCATATTTCTCGTACCTCATGTTATAACAAGACAAGATCAACGTGTTACAATTTTCATACGCCACACATGATCATTTCTTTATG